GGATATGTTGCTTGCTGAGGGGTTTTCCTAATGCTTGGCCAGGCAGAGGGGGCTTTGGAGTCCTTCTCTCCAATCGCTGATCCTCCCCGAGGATTTGCTACTGGGGAAAGAAGGGGATCGAGTCTCCCAAGGAGCAGGAGAATATTGGGGAGGGGGAACCTGCTCAGTGACCACCCCATCCCGAGCAGTCCAGGTGTGGAAGCTGCTGTCGGAATCACCCACGCACGGCGGAGGAGCCTCGGGGAAGAATGAGCGAGGGAATGAAAGGCCCCACGTCGGCGGCGAGAGCTTGTCAGGCGCCTTTCCCCGGGGTACAAAGGGCAGCTTGATTTGTGGGGAAGGCAGCCCTGTGACAAATGGGGAACTCGGGGGAAACTATTCAGGTCTCCCCCCCGGCAGCTGACGTGGAGGCCGTTTGAATAGCGGGGGCGAGGGGCTCCGCCCTCCGAAGCGCTGGAGCGCTTTTAATTGGAGGCGAGTGGCTTTGCAGGGGAAGGGCTGCCGAGAGCCAGGAAGCAGGTGGCAGATTTGGGCTCTCCCAAGCCCCTGTCTAGCGCCGAGCGGCCGCGCTGGGCCGTGACTAAACAGAAAACTTGTGTCAGTAGATACTCGGCTGCTTGTGGTGCTTCTCCTCTCTCTTTTCCCACTGTTTTCGGAGAAGTTTGTTCCTAAATTTCACGGCTTATCTCCTCAGCCCGACCAGTGTCTGATGCTCTGCTGTCTGTGTCACACTGAATTCTTTTTCAGAGCTGGCCATGACGTTGGGTTGCCGTTCTCTCGAGCACGTGCTCGCCCAGGAGAAGGGCGATTTGTGCGTAATTTCTTTTTTAGAAGCCCTTAAGGAGCTAATCCCTTAAGGATCTCCGCAGCTAATGCGCTTTGGAGAGCCCCGCCGTGGGCGTGGGGGAGCTGCTGGGTTTGCTCGGTGGAGTTTGCTGCTGCCGGCCGAGCTGCTTGTCTTCTGTGAGGAGATAAGGCGAGGGATCTCTCCGGGAGATGAGTCAGAGGAGCCAGAGCCTGTGGTTGTGTCTGTGCCAGTTGGTGTTTGGCTTTGGAGCAAGAGGGTTACGTTCCGTGCGTGGGCACCTGTAGAGCTTCACCCTTCCAGTGGCTGGGGCGTTGGAAAGAAAGGGATGGATTTGATTTCTTTTGTACTGACTGGGATAGTTTCTTTAGGAACAAACCCCAGCAGGTCAGATTCTTCCCAGAAAGGGCTGTAGCACATCCCTGACTCGGAGAAGCATCTGAAAAAAAGCATTCCATTAGTTGACTTCTCCCACGCTGCAGTCTTAGGTTGTCTCAGTAGCCCTGGAGGTTGGCTCACAGCTATGTTTTGATTCTGTGGAGACCTTTGGAAGATCCATTCCAGAGAGGTGCCCACGTTGGTTGGACTGTGAGAGATCCACCAGCATGGACAAGCACAAACTCCTTACATTGGCGTGTGCAGCTCGCTGCTGGGAGCACAGAGAGTGTTTCCATTAACGTGTCAGACAATATTTGTGGTCTCTCTCAAAGCCTTTCACAAGCTGGACAAAATTTATGTCTCCTAATTGCATTAGGCTCGTAGGGTAAGTCTGACATTTTAAATTAAGGCATATTGACGTTGCATCTGGATAAATGGCCTAACCTTTGTGTGCTTGCTCAGGGAAAGATGTTATGGATTACTAGTTAACTCCAAGTTACTCATTAGGAAATCTAGATGTGGGGGGGAAGGAGTTTTGATAAGACTATCCTAACCTTTGCTGCTTGGCAGCAGCATTTTATTTCCTCGTTGGATGTAACTAATCCCAACAGAGATCTGGGTGAAAACCTGAGCAAAGGGGGGAAATATTGGAGAGAGGTTTGTCTGCTTGGAAGCATCTGCTGTGGGCTAAACCAATCAGGGGTAGAAAATCCAATAATGGTTCTCATTCCATGACATCGCTCAACTTGTCTGTTAATAACAAGTTTTTCTAACCTGGTCAGGAAGGGAAAAAAAAAATGCACTTCTCAGGGTCTGTTGGGGGAAAAAAAGAGTTTCTGTCAAGGCAAGCTGTTGTTTTCCTTCCCAGTGTGAGGCTGAGACGTTGCTGTGAAGGGCTCTTAGTGCTTGGATGTCAAGTCAATAAGGATTGGGCTTCAGAAGTGGGTTTTCTTTCTGGCTACACAGACCAGGAAAGGGCAGAGAGCATTGCAGCTGTAACTTCAGTGCAGCCTGTTAGGGCTGGCTTCCTCACGGTGGGTTTTTCCTTCTCTTGCAGGGTTTGGGCCCTTTGGAGAGCACGCTGTCAATGCCAGCTGGATTGCAGTGCAGGTAACGTGGCTCTTAGGGGGTTTAACCTATCCACACCAACTTCCCTTTGCAGCAGCTCTTTCACAGCTTGTCTTCCCAGTGTATTTGCTGAGACTGGCTCTCTCCAGATGGTCAGCTGGATAATGTTTTATTCACTTCTCTAAAAACAGTCCCTAAGCTGGTAGAATTTAATGAGACCGAGTTAATGTAGCTGAGGGAAGTGAGGAATTCGTAGACTGACTCCCTGGATTTGAGAGGCAGGGAGCCTGGAATCTTCCTCTGCTCTGGAGAATTCAAAATAAATAAACAAACCAACCCAGAAGCATTGTGATGGTTTTCTCTCAGCTTCAGCTGGAATGTGAGCGACTTGGTGAACCTTTAAGCCAAGTCTCCCTTGTAATGAGTGGTCAGATGGTCTCGAGTGCACTGCAGAGGTGTCCACCCTGGAGCTGAGTGTCAGGACTGGCTCCAGAGCGATGCAGCCATCCCTGTCTCCTTTCCCTGCTTGGCTCCTCCAGTGCTGAGCAAAGCAGGAGGTGTGGAGGGGGTCAGGCAGTGTCTGTGGCCTCCTTTGCTGAGGACCAGCAGCAAATGATGGTTGACTCGTGGAGTTTGACCCCACTGGATGCAGGTGCCCATGGAGGATTGTTGACAGTTGGACTAGATGACCTTTAAAGGTCTCTTCCAACCCAAGACATCCTAACAGTTCTCTGATCCTTGCTTGAGCAGATGCTACACACTTGGACAAATCAAGTTTAAGCCACTTGTAGCTGTGTGTCTGCACGAGCACATTGGTCTGTGTCAGGTTGATAGGCTCACAAATGAGGCAAGAAGAGCTCGGCCCCAGCTGAAGTGAGGAATTAAGGCTGCCTGCTGTAAAGACATTAGCTGGGGACAGCCCTGCCACATTATCCCACTTCTTCCTTATTTGTCACTTCTGGATGTGGTTTATGAGAAAGCTGCTGGGAATTCGAGGGGACCTTTTAGTACAGTTGCCCAGGGAATTAAATCTATTTTCCTCTCCAACACGTCTCTCTTCCCTTCAGAGCTCTGAGATTAATATCTTCTTTAGAATGCTTTTAAATTAAATCACAAACTCTAATCAATTACAGTCAACTAATGTCCAGATGTCTAATGTGTTGGCTGGCACAAGAAGATGAAACCTTTGCCTCCAAGAGCCTCTTGGACAGGAATATATTTGAGGGAGGGTTTGCTCAGTTTAAGTGTGGGGGGGAAAAATATAAGTTGAGAGCCTGTGGAAAAAAACAGCACTGAAATTTCATAGTGAGGCTGATGGGTTTGGTTCCTTCTTGCTCGTGTAATTATAAACAAGCTACTTTTATTCAAGAGGAGATGGACAAAAGGGGATTGTGCTTCCAGGACAGGAAGAGTGGTGGCTGTTGTGATGGGGCTTACAAATCCAAACCTACAATTCCTGTCGAGAGACACGGTCGGTCCCGCAGCGCGACGGCTCGAGGAGCCAACAGCCCCTCAGCCCTGTGGTTGATAGATAACACAATCACGCCCGTTTTAAAGTCATTTTAGGGGCTTGGGGGTGTTTTGAGAGTCTAAAACTAGAGCTGGTGGCTCATGAGCTGCTGGGTTGGGGCTCATCTTCCTGCGAGTGCTGTTGAACAGCTCGCGGCGGCGGCTGCCTGCAGCGCTGAGCTCGCAGGGGCAGTGGGGAGGATTTGCCTTTCCTTCCCCCGCCCCAGCCCCAGCCCCGAGAGGCCCAGACAAAAAAGGAACAGCATGTCTTTGAGCACATGGGAGTGGGGCATTGTGCGAGTTTCAGACAGGGGACTTCATGGAGCTGAGTGGACACAAAGGCGTGTCTGAGTTTCTGAACCCCAGACGGTGTGATCTGCATTTTAATAGAAGAAAAATCAATTAAACAATCTTTGTAAATCCTTCCTAGCTTTAGGGCTAAGCTAGTTCTGCTTTATTACATCTTTTATTATCCTGCATCCCGAGGATAAAATTCACTGCTTTTCTTTCCAGGTCTCTTTTTGGGTTTATTTGGCTTCTTATATAGGACACGGATACGGTGTGTGGCTTTTCCTTCTGACCACAGTGAATTCTCAGTGTAGCTCTTTGGTTTTGAATGATTTTTACACATGGGTACCTTAAACAGTGGCTGTAGCAGTCAAATGGTGTGAAGATGAAATGTTTGGAGATTTTTTACACGCGGGGGAGAGTTCTCCTATCAATTCAGAGGGAAGACTAACTTCTTTCTGCTTTCTTCTACAAGGCTTACAGTAAAAATATTCTGTGTCAATGTGGATTTGCTCCTCTGTGCTTAATATTTCAGCTGAGGAATTCTTTCCACTGCAATTTCTGCTTGGGAGGGACCTTCCTTTCAAGAAGTGGTTACTGAGACGGGCTCAGTGCCTGCTCTGTCCTCCCTGGTGTGACTTGGGTGTAGACACAGGTGTGCCCTGTGGAGTGTGAAGCTGACAGGCTCCTGCCTTCATCCCCCTGAAGAGCTTCTGGCTGAGCCCCGGAGGAGGAGGAGGAGAGAGGTCAGAGTGCGTTTTGACATTGCTAAGGACAATTGCTGTCAGGGTGTCTAGACAGACCTGATAAGGATATTAGAGGCTCACAAAGACCCCCATTGTGGAGGGGTCAGGGAATCGGTCAGGCACGTTCGTTTTTCTGTGTTTGTCAGGTAGACAGGGCTGGGGGTAATAAGTTGGCTGGGGGCCAGTGGACATCTTTATTATCAGAGGGAATGCGGCATTTGGTTAAAAGAAGAAGCTGTGGATGTGTAAAGCTGAGGGTTAACGTGCCTGCCCGAGGAGAAGGTGCCTGTGCTGCCCGAGGTGCCTCACTCCCTGCAGCTGCTCCTTCTGCTTCAGCCCTTAAAACTTCCCCTGATCAAACCCATCTTCAGGAGGAGCCATTCCACGCCCTGCAGCAAAGCGAGGACGAATTCCTACCAATTAAAGCTCTGGAGATCTTCCTGAAGAGACTGGCTTGGATTTGAATGCTCTCATTTGTAAACTCCTTACTTTGTTAATGCACCAAGGAGGTTTTGGAGGCAGGTTTGTGTAAAGAAGATGTGATGAAACCTCCCTTAGCATCCATCTCTGGTAATGACTGTCTGTGGGTGCCAGACGCTGATCAATACAACCAGCCTTTAATATCAGACTTGCCCTCGGAGCCAGAGCAAGTGATTTATCATTGTTGCTGCTCAGATCTGCTGGTCCGTGGAAGTCTCACTCTTGCCTTTGCTGCTTGTTGTAGTTGTTTTCAATCCTTTGACACTGTCCCTGCAAGTGTGAAAGGTTTTCTAAGTAAACAGATGACTCGTGCTGATAACTACAGGAGAAAAGGACACTAAGATAGTGCTTGTTTTTATATAGAGGAGGTAGGATGGTAACAGGGGAGTCCAAAAACTCCATCTTGACCTCTCCCTTCAGCTGTCTTTAATCCAAAAGAATTCTAAACCTAGGGAAATCCAGGATTTGAAATTGAGTAAGCTTTGCTGAAAAGAGCTAATCTGTGCTCCTTGGCCTGAAGTTTTTAAGGGTAATCTCCGTGGGCAGGAAAATAAAGCCGAAAAATCACGTTAAAGAGCAGCTCTGGGCCCTGATCACTGAATCTGAACCTGAATCAGGGGTAACTTATTCATTAATATTTTGAAGTGCCCTTTGATAGTCTGGTAGCTTCTTCTGTTGCTGTTCCTACCACAGATCCATGAGAGCAGCTACAGTGGGTTGTGGATGTGGGAGTCAGGTTATTGTCTTGCTGTGCCTGCAGCCCCTTTGATGACAAGTTATCATTTTGAGCTCTGGGGGTGAGAAATCTTACATTTTTCAACAGACTTAGATCTCAGAGGAGCAGCAGTACTAGACAACAAGCTTCTGCTCTGTGTTAACTTGAGGAATGCTGGAGTTGGTTCTTCTAACTGGAACACAAGGCTGGCAGCAGAGGTGTGAGAGCACACGGCTCCATCGCTCTTCGGAGAGGAAGCACCTGCAGCCTCTTTCCAAAAGACTCAGAGCTGTGGGGGGACCCTGACAAAGGCTTCGTGGCACATTCAGTCACTTACAGTCTTGAAAAGCAACTGTAAAGTTGTTCAGAGTGCTAAAAAATGTTGTCTTCATCAGAGGGTGGCTTGGTCTGAGTTAGATGCTGTTGGATCTCATTAAACACGATAGCTGAAGTTGCTTCAGCTGCTGGAGAAGTGCCTCCCAGGGCAGCCCTGCACAAGGCTCCTCTGTGTCAGCTCAGCTGATGGTTTTGTTTAAGAATGTTGGAGGTTTTTTTTTTCCAGAGGCTTCACCCATCGTGTGTCTCCTTTCCTGGAATTGAACGTTTGGGTTTGGCCCTGAAAGGTTTCACTTCTGATGACCTGTGCTGGGCTAGACTGGTAAAGGCTGAGTGGAGCAATCCTCAGACTGAAGCCTTACTGGTGAGACTGGAACATGTTGAAATAGACACCAAAGAAAAGCAAGGGAGAAGTGTCCAGGACCACAGGCTGCATGGAGAGGGAACTTGGGGTGCTGGGATGAATCTATGCCTTCCAGCCAGATATTCTGGGGAAAAAAAAAAAAGATCTTTCCTCTTCCCTTCTGGTTTTAAAGAAGTATTTGCAAGGTATTTAGCTGTGTTTTAAAAGGTTTAAAGAAAATGGTCTGTGTTTATTGCCTGGATATTTGGGATGTTTTCAAGGCATGGCTTTGGTTAATGTTACAGAGGGAGAAATAATTTGCTGCACTGGTTGAATCACTGCAATGGTAACAGCTCACACTGCAAAATTAAATACAGTCTGAGGGACAGGTAAAGGCAGCAATGGAAACCCAGGTCCTGTTTTGGAAACGGGCTGATTTTGGCAGATTCTGCTAAAGTAAAAGTAAGACCAATGTTCAGGGAGGAGAGAGGTCTGATGTTCTTTTAGCCTCTCAGAGGAGGCGCGTTTGCTGATGTTCATGGAGACTCACGGGATCACAGCCTGGTCATTAGACAATGATATAAACCTCCCAATTCTACTTTATCTACATACTATCTAGTTCCTTCAAGAAGTGAGTATGATGACACACCTCCAAGCAGCCAACCTTTCTCTCCAGTGTGGGCGTTTGCTGATAACTATTGTCAGTTAAATGTTGGTCTCTTTGTCATACACACATCAGAGCAAAACAAACGGCTCTGTGGGTGAAGGCTGTTAAGGCAGGTGGAGAGATTACCAGTTTTGTTGGTTTGTTGGGGTGGTTTTTTTTTTTACAGTGCTGTTTACAAGGTTACACAGCCTGTAGTAGAAGCTGATGTTAATCCCTGAGCCTTCCAGAAGTCCATCCTCTGCCTGACCATCTCGGGTTTGTTTCCTCAGGAGCTGGAGAAGCTCGGGCTGCGAGACGACGTGGATCTGCACGTCTATGAAGTGCCCGTTGAATACCAGACAGTGCAAAGGCTCATTCCTGCATTGTGGAAAAAGCACAGTCCACAAGTGAGTGAGTAAGGGGAGGAGGAGTAAAGGCACAACAAATGCTTGAAATCTGTCATGCCCACAGCTACGACCAAAATACAAAGTCCCATTTTTAAAGCGTGTTCAGATGGGCAGTCCCCTGGTAGATCTTTTCCTGTTTTGCAGTGAGAACATGTGAATTTGTAGGGTTTTATAGCTGGGAATGGAGCACTCCAATTAAGGGGAGCAGCCGGTGTGAAGAGGCCACTGCAAAGGGCTGTCTAGACAGCTCACAGCCAGGCTGTGCCACAGGGGCTCTCCCAACACACCAACATGCTAACGCTCGTTTTCACCCCCAGTAATTACAGTTGGGGCCAGGAGGGGGTGAAAGAAGAATTGTTCTGTACCAGACCCACGAGCCCCTGGATAAAAAGGACTTTTGGAGGAAATCTTGTTCGTGGGGATTTGAAGATCTTCTGCCAAATCAAATCTTAAATCTACTCCTGTTGTCTGTAAACCAGAGGTGCTTATCTGAAAACGAGGAATTTGGCTTAGAATGAATATTTTGGGCTGTTTCTTAGTGTTCTCCCCCCAGTGAGGGTGTACAAGGTTCTGCTTGTGTGAGCTTTCCCAGTAATTACAAACTCCTGCAACGACTCCATCAGCAGCCTGGTGCTTCTCCACTGTTTAGAGTTGAGCTGATCTCACCTCTTCCTGTTCCCTTGTAGCTGGTGGTTCACGTGGGTGTGTCGGGGATGGCTACGACCGTCACCCTGGAGAAGTGTGGCCACAATGTGGGTTACAAAGGCTTAGACAACTGCAGGTTCTGCCCGGGCTCACAGTGCTGCGTGGAGGGTGGCCCAGAGTGCATCGACTCCATCATTGACATGGACACGGTCTGCAGGAGAGTCTCGGCGCTGGGGCTGGATGTCACAGTCACCATATCGAAGGATGCTGGCAGGTACAGGGGTGCTGGGGATCCCCAGGGAGAAGACACCCCTTCCACAACACCCCATCCCCTGCTGCTCAGCTCGTGAGCCCTCTGGGACTCCTACAGGCCTCACTTCTCGTGGTGGTGGCAGCACTGTCCGTTTCTCAGCGCTCACCCAGTCATCAGGGGAGAAGGATCTTGATGTTCTGTTGTCCTACATTGGGTTAAAGTGATTGTGCAGACTCACAGGACCTGGCTTGTGTCCCACTGTTGCAGGATGGTGCTGCACTGCTGAGTGATGGGAATCCCAGAGTTGTTTTGATTGGAAGAGACCTTTAAGATCATTGAGTGCAACCGTTGCCCCAGCACTGCCAGGTCCCCCCTGAGCTGTGTCCCTCACATCACATCTCCACAGCTTGGAAACCCCTCCAGGGATAGGGACTCCACCACTGCCCTGGGCAGCCTGGCACAGCCCTGGACAACCCTCAAGGGGAAGAAATTGTTCCTCAGCTCCAACCTCAACCTCCCCTGGGGCAACTTGAGACCGTTTCCCCTTGTCCTTGTTTATTGGGAAAAGAGCCTGTCCCCCACCTGGCTCAAATCTCCTTCAGGGAGTTCGAGAGAACTACAGAATCCCCAAAGAACCCACAGTTTCTCCTCTCCTGCAGTTGTTTATCACTTGTTGCTAAGTAAACTCTCTTCTTGTGTTTCAGGTACCTCTGTGACTTCACCTACTACACGTCCCTGTACCAGAGCCGTGGGAGGTCGGCGTTTGTTCACGTGCCTCCCTTGGGGAAACCCTACAGCGCAGAACAGCTGGGCAGGGCCCTCCAGGCCATTATAGAAGAAATGCTTGATGTTTTGGAGCATTCTGAAGACAAAATCAATTGTCAGCATGAACACTGAAAGCGGGCAGGAGCTCTCCTGGTATTGCACTTCCAAAAGTTTCCCCGCTACTGAAGTACTGGGGAAAAAAAAAAAAGTCTCTAACGTACAGACCCGGAATTGGAGACTTCAAAAAGGAAAATTCCACTTCTAGAAATTGACTCTTTTGTTGGTTTTGGGTTTTTTTGTTTGTTTGTTTTTTATTGTCAGATGTGTGCGTTTCAGCCTAGGCAACAAAGGATTCCAAATCTCTTCCCGAAAACACCCACAGCCTCTCATTTCTGAAGGGGTTGGGGGGGGTGTGCTGTGCTTTACCCAGAGCTGGTCTGTCAGCCAGGTGACAGCTGCTGCCCAGGCTAACACAGCACAGATGGAAAGTTTCTCAGCTGGACTTGGCCTTCAGGTTCAGGGAGTTGGTAACCCAGTCTAATAATGGCTAGTTCTGAAGTTGAAGGGTTCACTTTCCCATTTATTTTCCCCTCTTTAGCCCAAATTGTAGGTTATGACGTACAACTGAAGAGGCTTGGAGTGGTGGGGGTTTGCCTTGTGTAAAACAGCACTGGGTGGAGATGAGGAGTCTTCAAAATTGCTTTGCTGAAGTGGAGAAGTATTTTTTGGCACTGATTTCTCACCCTTGTATTGTCCAGATCTCCGTAGGGTCCTCTGTAACGTACTGGTTAACTGGTAGCTGCTGGTAGGAGGGGTGTGTTTTGGGTTCCTTTTGTTGTGGAGCAGGAAATAGCTTTTCTTTTCCTTTGTGTGTGCACAGTGTGAGCCTAACTTGCGCCAAATATTCCCAAATATCTTGTGCTCTCCATGCCACCTCCTCCCTGGAGTCAACCAGATACCTCCTGTACAAAACACAGTGTTTCATACCTGTATAAAACAAATCATTAGGGTTAAATAGCTTTGCTAAAAGCCACTTTCTCCACAGGAGATCTTTATCCTAGACTCTTGGTGCTAGCTGTGAATTTTTTAAGGTGAAGGTTGAGTAATTTATAACTTCCTTAGTTATAAATTTTCGTTCTTGTTAAAGGTTAGATGAGTAATGTTTAACTTTAGGTGGCCACTGTGATTTATGACAGGCATAAATAAGCAAACGTGCAGATTCAAAGACATTCTGCCAAATCCAGTTTCAAATCTTAAACCCATTCCCACTGTCTGCAAACCAGAGGCGATGATCAGGAGACTGGAAATTTTGCTTAGAATGGGTATTTTGGGCTGTTTCTTAGCGTCCCCCTCCCAATGGGAGTGTACAAAGTGCTGCTTCTTGTGTGGACTTTCCCAGTAATGAGTTTGGGGCTGTGTACACACAGGTTCTGAGCAGGATTCTGGAAGTGCTTGGTGTTAGTCGTGCGTGGAGGTTCACTGCCAAATTCTGAGACTCCAGCAAAAACCAGATGATGTTACAGTGGGAACAGACACCAAACTGGTAATTGTGACCAGTAGGTCTCACTAAGGGGCCGTTTAAATGATGAGGTCTGTGATTTGATTCTAATAGTTTTACAAATATATATATATATTAAAAAAAAAACAACCTTTAGAACCAATTTAAACTACCATTATTTTAATTTTTCTAATGATGAATGATTCTGCTAAAGTATCTCTCAGTGAGAGCTGCTGTTAATGTGCTGTTTTCCAGTTGAAGTCTAGCAGCAAAGGAGACACCAGTTTTCCTTTAAACCCTCACAAGAGGACGAGGACTTCAGCAGTTGTAAGAATTCAGCTAAGGGGACCTGTGTGTGAAGATATTTGGGTGGATTTCTGATTTAATGAGGAGATGACCACAGTTTTTACTCTACAGGTTTTCCTGAGTTTTGCCTTCTAAGGAAATATTCTCATATACGAAGTAGCACTTGTCAGATTGTCAGCAGGCAGGCAGACTTTCTGATTAGTAATTTATTATATTTAATATTTTGTTTAAATATTTGTGGTTTGACTCTTTTTTTTTTTTGCAAATAGTTCAGCTACTTATCTGGTAGGTTTATTCCTTTATCTGGTAAGAAGTTTTTCTCGTCGCTGTATCTTAGCTGCTAAACTTTTAAAAGAGGAATAATTCATGTACTCTAAGTTCAGATTTAAGTGATTTTCAGTACTGCTATTTAAGTTACGTGTAATGTAGTTGTGAATAAAATGGGAGTGGAAGATCAACAGCTTAGTGAGGCAAAAAAAAACCTCAGCAGCAGCTGAGCAGCTCCAAGTTCATCGTTGGGGAAGGTAGACAACAGCTTCCCTTGTGGGTTTATTCACCTCGTGGAGCTCTGACCTCTTCAACACCCCTAAATATTCTTTTTTTTGGGTGCTTTCTGCTTTTCAGGGGGAAATCTGGAGCCAGTTTGTGGCTGCTGCTTGAGGGCTGCAGTGGTTGACCTACATGTCAGCATTAAAAATCCTTTTTTTTCAGAAATATTTTGCTTTGGGCATCACTCCGAGCTGGGTGGTTTTTTTTTTTCCTGATCTGTTTTTGTGAAGCTTCCACGTGATCAGTTTCTTAGAAAACATAATTTATTTTATAATCTTTTTTTTTGGCTTTTAGGGAATTAGTCCTCAGAGACTGTATTTCTCAAAGGGTGTCTCGGTGGTAGAGGGAGTTTTGTACGGTGAAACTTTTAAAAGATGGTGTTAAACTAATTTTATTTAATCTGACCTAAATTAAATGCTTTTGGTTTTTTGAAGGGTTTTTTTTTTGTTAAATTCATTAATTCCTAATGCCTTTTCTAGAGGTGCATATTTCCTTTGGAAATAGGACGTCAAAACTGATGCAGAGCTTCAGAAAGCTGATGTTTTGTGTAACACTTTCTGTCTACTTTCTCTTCCAGATCATCAATAAATAGAATTTGCTAATTTGCACTGACTGGGAGACCTGCTGCCAACCACAAAAAAAAAAACTTTGGTGCTGGTGAGCAAGCGGAGGAAGTTCAGGTTTAGTGTCAATTCCTGTGCCTGCAATGGGTAAAATGTCAAAACTGGTGAAGTTTTAGAACCCTGCGACTGCAAAATGGGCTCTGGGGACGCAGAAACGGGGGTGAGGAGATTTTTGTGTGGAAGAGAGAATTAGGGAGGTTCCACTGTGTCGGGTCTGATGTCATTTTATCTGCTTGCCAACAGCTTGGAGTAGGAACTGGCCAACGTGTTGGTGAAGTTGGGGGATGAGGGTTTAATTGTTTCAGTTATTAAACGCCACGGAGGATTTTGAGGAACTCCAGGTAGTCGTGAACTCCTTCATGATTTGGTGATACTGATGCTGGGAGGTGTTTCCTTGGAATTCTGCTTGATAAAACACAGTGGAAAGAAACTGTGAGCTTGAAAGTTTCCTTACAGACTTGTGGGGGACTTGATCTTTACAAGTCCCATCCACCTGAAGATACAGTTGAAGGTAAACACCCGTTGTACAGAAGCTGTTTGTATTTTTTGGGCAGCTTTTGGAGCAGCTGTTGAAATCTGTAAGATCCTGTGGAGCAGTTCACACTTATCTGGAGTGTTTCCCCAACCTGATTGTTTCCTCCTAAACGTGGTGGTCGTGGGAAGGGATGAAAAAGTCATGAAGATGGTGAGAGGTGTAGAGTGTGGTTGGGACATGAGACTGCAGCCAAGAACTGCTGAGCTTCCAGAGTCCTTCCAGGGAGGGACCTGGCTGAGGGTGTTGTTTAAGACTTAATGAAGACTGACTTGTTGCTCTGCTCTCACCCCAGAGAGGTGGGAAATTCAAAGCACAGCTTTGAGCTGGAGATGATGCTTCCTGGCTGACTCTGTGCAGAACCAGAGAAGGCTTCTGTGAGCAGTGTTGTGTTGTGCAGTGTAGCCCAACGTGTTGGGTGAACAGCAGAAAAACACCCAGTGAACCAGGGCTCTGATTTCATCCCAACTTCTCGTTGTCTCTGTGGGGTTTGTGCTCTGGTACATCAGTTTGGAAACTGTCCCATTTGTACCTACTCACCTGGACAGGTGAGATGTTGCATTCAGGCTCTGTTGGTTGCACAGGCAATATTTCACCTCTTGGTGCCTCAGGCAGCTGGCAAAGAGGATTATTCCAGGTCGTTGTCACCCAGTTCCATGCCTGGAATAACAGCCCAGGGGCTTCCAGGCCTGTGGACTCACAAAGGGACAGCACAGGCTCCCAGCATCGTTAGTTTGGGTAATGAAAAGTCTGGAAAAGTTATTAATCCACTCGATTTCTTCTAATACTCAGATAATCTTCAGTCAAGTGCATGATTCGTTGCCCTCGTACGTGGGCTTTCTTAGGAAATGTGTTAAAGGAACTGGAGGAGGAGGAGCTTCTTAAACCAAAAATGGGTCAGCACCCCACGTCAGTGAGTGGAAGTGGTAATTCCCCGCTCACAGGAGCTGTTGCTGGGGCAGAGCAGCAGTTACAAGCTGACTGTGTTGCTCTGTGGTTTAACTGGCGACTCATGAGTCTGTTTTAAAGTGTGGTGGGTTTTTTTTTTAATTAAAATTTTCAGCTTTCACCCCACAATGCAGATAATAAAATTGTCAGCAATGAATTTGTCCACACTTCCACTAAGTAACTTCATTCCTGGTGTCTCCTTTACCTTAATATCCTGTCTGGTGATATTTTAACAAGAGGAATTTCAGATTTCTGAAGGTTTTCTTTCAAACCTGTTGCCTTGGATAAAATCCCCCTAGTTGATAAAGTCCACACCTTGACGTAGATGGGTTTTGTTATTTTTGCACCAGAAACCCTAATGTTTTGCAGTATAAAGTGCACTTTTTCTTAAGAAACTTGTATTCATGTCTGATTAGTGTCTTATGTGACGAAAGTGGTGTTCTGCCAAACCTCCAAAGCTGAGGATGTTGTTAATTCTTCATCATATTAATTGAAACCTGAGATCCGCTTCCGCTCGGTCTATTTTAAAACAACTTAGAGAAGAAAATGCCCCCCCCCCAACCCCTAGATAGGAATTAAATATAGGAAATGAAACTATACACTGCCCTTAAATAAAACTCTGTGCTACTTAAATACACGTTCAGGTTTTCTATTGCACCAGCTTCTTAAATTGCAAATGTTTACTTTGATGAAACAGGGAGTGCCTTGTCCTGTGCTGGGCTCGCGGCGGGAG